GTGTAGAGGTCAAAGAACAACCCTCAGGAATGAGCTCTGTCTCCTTCCAGGGTGTAATCTACGTCTTCAGACTTGGCAACAGCACCTCTGGGTCATCTCCCTCACTCAGGCACAAGACTTCCTCAGCATCCAGTTCTGGTGGCTCAGTCAGTTTCTGGCCAGTTATCAACTTGAAACTTGTCAGGAGCATCCCTGCTTATACACTGAAGGCCTAAAATCAGCCATAGGCCTAAAATCAGCAATAGGCCTGACATACATATATACTAACACCAAGTCTTGGGTCTCTGTGGAAAAGCACTGAAACAGATGACTAGAAGCTATTGTAAACAGGCAGCTTTGGTGGAAAATTGCCAGGCTGAACACATAGACTTTGTAGATAGGTAGCCTTGGTGGATAGTACCAACTTAGATAAGGACAAGTGAGTCATAGGCAGAGTCATAGTGATCTGTCCCCTGAACCTTCACCCAGCTGACATTCTGTTCTGGAAGATATCTGTACTCCTCCCGAACAATCTGTATTCCCCCCTGAACACCCACATTCCTGCGCCATCCCCTTCCCCACATCCTGCCTTTTTGTGTATATAACCTGTGTGTGCAAAAGTAAATATTGCGATTTGATCAGACTATAAACAGATCATCATTTCCTTACGTCAGCCTGTTCTCCACTTTCTCTTTTAGGTGATCTCCCCAGACTCCTGTTTAATGCCCTGCTGGACAGGACAGAAACTTACCTCACTTTTTGTGTTACCCAGCTCTAAACAGTGGGCTGGTTTGAGTTGTATCAGATTCCATGGTCACACGATACAAGCCCAGGACACTGGCAAAAGTAAAACCTTTAACCTTATCGACTAATTAAGGACCCCAAAGCAGAATGATGAGGTGTCTGGAGACAGGGACTTGGTTATCAGCGTCATCTCTCTTCTGAGAACAGAATCAGACCCCACTGAACAGGGGCTAGGTAACTGCATAAGTAAGTGTCCTATCTGGAACATGAAATCTTGCTATGGCTGCTTAATTAAATCATGATAAAAACATTCTGTGGCTGATTCAAGGTGCTGAGAGTTTATTGGGGGAAGCCAGAAGTTCAATAGAATGTTTGCTACAGCTTTTCTGGACAGCAATTTTTTTTCTAAAGAAAAAGTCATATATTAAGCAAAACTAGTGGTGCAGGCCCTTTAACATCAGTGCACAGGAGGTAGAAATGGAAAAGGGGAGATAGAAAAGGAAAGATGAGAGATTCAAGTTAACCTCAGTCTACAGAAGTGAGTTTGAGGCTAGCCTGGGTAACTCTGTAGAGCCTATCACAAAATAAAAAAGGAAAAGGGACCTGCGGATGTAACTCAGTGACAGAGCACTTGGCCAGGAGGCAATGAAGTCCTGCGTTCCAGCCACAGCACTACAAAAGTGTGCGTGTGTGCACTCGTGTGTGCATGTGCATACATGAACTAGATATATACACGTGTGCATGAATGCATATGTACATAAGTGTGTATACGTGTATACTTATATACACACACGTATGTGTGTGTACACATATGTAGCTGCTGATGTTTTTGTATCACAGGCTTCTTGAAGTTGTCTGTGTTTTTCAACCAGATCCTGCATGTCATACCTTTGTACTAGTTTCGGTTTTTGGTATTATGATTAAAACACTGACCAAACTCCAAGCCAACTTGGAGAGAAATGGGTTTATTTGGCTCACAGGTTACAGCATATCAGGGAAGCAAGGGCAATAACTAAATCAGAGGCCAGGGAGGAGTGCTGCTTACTGGCTTGCTACCCATTCGTTTCTCAGCCTGCTCTCATATACAACAAAGGGAAGGGAGGACACTGTCATATTTGTTCCTGGTTCCTCCTTTCCCGCTTTCTTATCTGAGGCTGACCCTAACGTCGTTCTCCTTCTAGCCTTCCATGCTAATTGATGTGTTTATAAAAAACATAAAGAGAGGAGGGGATATGTTCTATGGAGGTGTGGTGAGGTGTTGGGGAAGGGGGTACCTTAGCGGGCCCATGCCAAGGTATCCCTTCCCCTGAGGGGCCAGCCACACGATGGTATAGTATAGAAAAGAGTTTATTCAGGGCATGGGGAAGGGAGTGAAGAGGGTAGTAGAGGCAGAGAAAGGCAGAGAGAGAGAGAGAGAGAGAGAGAGAGAGAGAGAGAGAGAGAGAGAAGAGTAGAGGCCGGCCATGAGCATGTAGAGAGAAGGGGGAAGGGAATGGGGAAGGAGTGAGGAAGGGGCGAGGGGACAGAGTGGGAGCAAGAAGGCAAAAGAACAAGAGAGCGAGGAGGGGGCCAAGCAGCCCTTTTTATAGTGGGCTGGCCTACCTGGCTGTTGCCAGGTAACCGCGGGGTGGAGTTTAGACGGAATGCTAACACTAACCCCCTCCTGCCCAATGCTTCGCCTCTAACATGTTACTGAAAGAACCCCTCAGCCCTTGCTTTCCATTTCTTCACTATTTGGCCCAAATGGTGAAGGAGTCTGTGAGCTACCAGACAGAATTCTAACTCTGCTGGTTTTCCAACACCCAAAGGCTGATGACTTGTTTTCAAAGATTTGCTTTTATTATTTTTATTTTATGGGGGGGGGGGGGCCGGGGGGGTATGTGAAAGTGAGTGCAGACGCTCATGAAATCCAGAGCTGCCGGATCCCCCTAAAGCTGGAGATATGGGTGATCGCGAGTGTTAGGCTGGACCCCCTGCTCACCCCTGCCCATGCTGGGAAACCCCAGCTGCCCTCCTTCCCCCCAACCCCGCCCACACTGAAAAACTCCAAACAAAAGAAGGGCTCCAAGAGTCCAGGCTGTTGCAACCTCCTCCCCTGATGCTGCCAGCCGCCCCAGTCCCCGCCTAAGTGCTCACCTCTTGACCATACTTGGGCACAAACCCAGCTTACTGCTGACACATCATCATCACCTTTCGCCTACAGTCTATAAAACTTCCCCACCCTAGCTAGGGTGCACGATTTGCCCGGTCCCGTTCCTTGCGACCAGTGAACCCATTCGCCAGTGGCATCCAATAAACCTGGCTTTATCAACCTTTAGTCTGTCTAGTCTGGCCTGTGTATCTGTGTTACCAGGGGAGAGAAGCAAGCCCATCAATGAGCTGAGTGTGTATGTGCTGCCTGGCATGGGTGCTGAGAACCAATACGTCTTCTGCAAGAGCAGAATCCACTCTTAACCAGTCATCTCTGTAACATCCCCTCCCCCCCCCAAAAAAAAAAATCTGGTAAATTTTTATCCAAAGATACAGCAAATAAAATGGCTGCCACACCTAAACACTAGTACGCATCATTATTTTTTTTTTTGTATGTATTTTGACAACTCCAAACCCAAACTGCTTGAAGTGTGTTCTAGATATATCAGGAAACATCCAAAAGATATCTCACCTTACAAGTCCACTCTGGTGCTATCACTAGAATCCTCCCTCTGACCATGCCCACCCACTGGATCCAGACCCAAGTACTTCACTGTGTCGTTCCTGCTAGCCCCTAACTGCCAGCTTATTCTTGTGTTGAAAGCTGGGTGAGATTGCTTCTCTCTGTTTGCATTCAATGGTGTTAGCACAGGACCCAAGAGGACTTGTTACAACAGAGCAGATACTTCACAAAACAGATCCAAAAGACAGACGTGACGGCTCTTTCAGAGTCACTACGTCAGGCTCACCAAGTCAGACCTTACAACCCCTGAAAATCTTTCAAGGACCTCAAGAAGGTTCAGCCGGTAAAAGAACTTTCTATCAAAGCTGACAACCTAAATTCAATCCTTGGGACCTACATGGTAGAAGAAGTGAACCAACTCCAGAAAATTGTCCTCTGGCTATCACACACAGGCTGTGACACACTCACACACGAGTAAATAAGTGCAATTCTTTTAAATTTTAAACTTTAAAAAAGAGAGAGAGAAAATATTTTTGACCCAGAGCCAGCACTGCTTCTCATCAGACATATGGTTAGGACTGCTACATTTTCCACATACAATGGCTCAAAAATAATAGCTCCAATTAGAGCCTGGTATGGTGAGGACACATCTACTCTCCCAAGCTACTCTAGAGGGCTGAAGCTCACAATTTCAAGGTCTGCCTGGGCTAACTATATAAGGAATTAGAAGCCAGAATGATCTGTCTCAGAAAACTCAAAAAAGGGGGGGGGAGTGGAGGGGTGATACATGTAGCTCAGTTGAAGAGCATTTATCTAGGAGGTGAAGGCCTTAAATCATTCCCCAGGACCTCTGGGCAGAGTATGTGGTTCAATAGGTAAAGGTGCTTGCTCCCAACCAATCCTGAAGGCCTGAGTTCAATATCAGAACCCATATCATAGAAGGAAAGACCAGACTCCCAAAAGTTGTCCCCTGACCACCACAAGTCTCCACAAATATAATAAATAAATAAGTAGATAATAAAATGTTAAAAATCTTTTGATTTATTTTGTGTGTGTGTGTACGGTTTGCCTAGCTGTAGACCTGAGCTCCATGTATGTGTCTGGAGTTTGTGGAGGTCAGAAGAGGTTCAGAGCTTCTGAGTCCCTGGAACTGGAGTTACACATGGTTGAGAGCCACTACATGAGTGCTGGGAACCAAACCTGGGTCCGTATCTATAAAAGTAACCACAGAGCCATCCCTCCAGCCCTCGATAAACTTAAAAAAAAAAAAATTCAGCCAGATTCACAAGCACAAGGATAAAAAGAACGATGGGGTAAATGAGGGGATGAAGAATGCCCGAGCAGACTAAGGCCATAGTGGATATTAACTGAATTCTAGACCTACACCAGCCTAATAGGACCTGGGTGCCATAGCATCTTCCAAGAGCCTTAAGGCCGGTCTGCCAGAGGGCGTGGCCCGTGGTGGCTCCACCCCTGGCATTAGCCCCGCCCCGCCGCGCGCCTCCAGGCTCACCTGACCCGCTCGCCGCTCACGTGATCCGTCGCGGCGCCGCCATCTTGGAGCCACGGCCGAGGAGGGGGCAAAAAGGGGAAAAGAGAGGGAAAAGAGTCGGGAGCGAGGCGGACAAGGGCGAGGGCACCGCGGGGTCCTGGCCGGCCAAAGGAGGCTCGCAGAAGCAGCAGCCCGCTGACCGACCGCAGGTACCGCGCCCCGGGCCGCCCCTGCGCTTGAGCGCCGCCGGCCATGTGCGGCCTCGCCGGTGACGCCCGCTTCCTCCTCGCCGGTGACGCCCGCGGCACTGCCACGCACCCGAGCGCCAGGGCCCTGTGTGTACTGTCGTCCTTCTGCCGGGCCCGTGGAGACCCCGGGCCCTCCGTGCCATTGTGGGTGGGGGTCCCGCTGCTCCTTAGGCCCCGCTCAGGCGGCTTTGCCTTCTGGAGACGTGAAAGCGCTTAGGCCAGCCAGGATGGAGCTTAAGTTTCTTTAATCCCCTGTCCTTTAAGCACTGTGTGGTGTAGGAAATGCCAGTGCAGAAGCAAAATAGCAATCCTGGCCTCCCGTTACTAACATATCCTCCGGGATGACTGATCTTTCCAGAGATCGCTGAGCCAGTTGGTGAAAGTGCCCCCCTTTCCAGACCTGGGTCACCCCAATCGTTTGTTTGCAGTCCGAGACCTGGTTGATTAATTAGGTCCAGGCAGCCACCCCCAACCCAAGGTTGCTGACCGGGACTGGAATTTGCTATCAGTCTACATGGCCCAAGGCAATTACTGGATTTAGCACCTTTTCTGTCTGAGTTTGTACTTTCTGCTGTACGGGTCTGATTCTGTGTATGGATTGCTATATTGATTAAAAAGAGAAAGTTTGACCATTCATTTCTTTACCATGGTAACTTGTTGGAAATTAACTCCGGAGGATGCCCTAGCGGCATCACTAAGTTACTTTCTAAGGGAACCGAAAAAGCCTACTTTAAAGCATCTATAGGGAAACAGTAGAAAAAAAAAAAATGGAGGACCAGGGCAGGAAACTGTTTTGGAGAATATATAGGTCAAGCCACGTTGTCGTATCTTTTCATGGTACTATTCTGCCCACTGCGTTTGACTAATTTACATAATCACCCCTTAGGCTGTAATTTCGGTTAAAGTTAGAATAGCAATATGTCATTTATTATTCCATATTGGTTAGAAAATTATGTCAGTAAGACCAGTAGTTTGCTGAGTGAATTACTTACTTGGAGGGGAAGGCTTAAAATATACAATTGTTTTCCACACTGATTTGTTCTAGCTTCTGCAAAAGTCCTCTACTTGTTAAGTAAATTATGTAAATTTGCCTCACACAAATACATTCCATGAACAGCCTTCTGAAATCTCTTTTCAATGTTAAGTATTGGAAGTTTCTTCACCACCCAAAATAATGTGTTTCACCCACCAAGAAAGAGACCTGTTTGACGATGTTTACTTTCCTTCTTGGTCACAGCTGGATTGTGAATATCGATCCAGGAGATTATCAGTTTCAGAAATTGATTGGAAAGACACTGGGTCTGCCACTAACAGCCATGTAACCTTGGGTAAGTCACTTACACCTCACTGAGATGCCTTATTTATAAACTGACACCACTGTGACTGGACCCACTCACGGCAAACAACGCTGTTTGCTGCTGCCTGGCATATGGTGCTGTTTACTCTGCCCGTTGCTGACACCGTGTTCACCTCGAGAATAGAAAGGGAGATTGGTATACTAGGGAAAGCATGGTTTGAGTTCTTACGCCAGGCACTGCTTCACATCCGTAAGCCTCAGATGTGTGACTTGACACTTTATGTCCAAAGAAGGGATTGGACACCAGGAATTACAGGAATAGTACAGGAAATGGACACAGGCCCAATTCTGGGTTTGCGGCTCCAGGACAAATGGTCTCCAGTGCTGTGCTTGGCATGAGTGCTTCATAAATTACAATGAAGCAGAATATCATTGATGTTAGTTACAACTATGTTTTAGTTGTAGCCACTAAGTCAAAATACTGTCTCAGGCTAGGTGCCAGGTAAGAAACCCAGTACTATGAAACCCATGTACTTCTACATTTATACTTTAGTTTTTCTCTTAGTAGCTATTATTACATTGAGCTGAGAAGATTTTAAATAAATTATAACCGACCTTAGTAAGGTCTAAGGTAAAAACAGCTTTTAGGTTACTTTTAATAGGTAATTAATTCCAACTCCAAAAGTTTTTCAGTTTTACCCTCACATTTCACAGAAGAATCTAAAACAAATAGTAGCTTGCCTAGATCATAGAGCTAAGGGCTCTTCAGGCTTAAACAAATGTCTCAGAGATATATTAAGTTTTGAGATTCTGAAAGAGTGTGAAATTTGTTTTCCATCATTTCTGTTGTTTTGAGTTTGGGGTTTTTGTTTATTTACTTAGTTGGAAAAAATGAAATCTGCAGTCTGAAAGAGGGTAGGTATTCTTTATATCATCTTGTTCTGTCTTTACATATACCCAGAAAATTGCAGCCTTTTCTTCAAGCCCACATGAGTCATTTCGCTCAATTCTACATGTAATCATGCTGCTGTAACTAAAGGAATTAATTAGATACACAAATACACCAAATAGCAAATTACAAGAAAATAAAGACAACTGAATTTGTTCACTTTTCTTGGGAAAGACATTAATTATAAGTTTTTTCCTGTGGATTACTGTTGTCAGGGACAGATCTGAAAGACTCAGTGGGAACAACTATAGAACATTGCTGGTTTAAGAGAGTAGCTAATTTACTTGTTCTGACTGGATCTTCTGGTCTAGTGGTATGTATAGTGATTGCAAAGAAGATATCTCCCACTTGACTAATATTTCTAGACTTATGTCCTGGTGAACGTTCTAGTGCAGTGATCTTTAATCTGTTCACTAGCTTAAGGTGCATGCTTATTCCTATTGTTAGGATGGTCATGTTAGAGCAGGCTTTCTCGTTTCTCAACCTTTCTTGTCACTCTTAACCTTGCATTAACAGTAGGGAAGCAATTAGCTCTCAAATCAGGATAACTCCAGGAGGTTGTATTTACAAAGATAATATTACCAGGGTATTGGCCTTCTATACGAAGGCCATGGAGTGATGGAGTTAGTGGGAAAAGCAGCATCAGGAGAAGGGAAGTGCCAAAGCCAGATATAGATTTATAGAGAGCAGCCGTTGGTCCGAGAAGAACTGACCTTTTAAGGAGCAACCAATTCAGGGTGACCTAGAAGCAGAAACCAGGACATTGACTGTCCTGTTCTCTCTCACCTGTGTTTCTCTGATACTCATGGCTCTCCATTTGCAGTACCCAGCCAGAGGACCAGGAAGCAGAGTCCCATAGAGAGGAGGCCACAAGGAGCCCAGAGAGAACAGGTGGTGATGTCCACACGTCCCCTAGATGTTGGAGACTGAGGTGGAAATTTCTGGTTACTTCAACAAATCAGTTCTGTCAAGTGATGTTTTTCTGGAAGCTGTCTTGTGAGAGGGCATGTGATGTTTTACTGAAAACAGACACTTGAGAGGGCTCGTGATGTTTAGAAAGAATATAAATAGAACCCCACAAACAGTGAGAGGATGCTCTTTGATTGCATTGCCATGAGTACTTTGGTGGTGGTGTTCATTTTGTAGAGAGAAACGCACCAAAGAACTTCTCATGGTATTCCGGCTGATTCTGGCTGCTTCTGCTACCTGGTGCCTATTCAGCAGAGCCTTGCTGTTTCTGCTGGATTGTGCCACTTCTACTAATTTGCATTTGGTATTTGCTATTTAACTGGACTGTTGGTATCCTAAAAATGGAGATTGGAATCACCCCAAGGAACTTCTTCTAAACAGGTCCACAACCCCTTTTCCTACTAACCTCCTTTTTCCCCTACCTCTCTCTGGTCAGTGGGTTAGAAGGGAGGTTGAAGAGTTTAAGAACCCTAAATAAAGTATGTTTTGAAAAATCTAAGCCTACAGGGACCAGTGGATATACTGCCTTTTCAAGTAGCCTTGTGCCTGCTCTCTGCTCAGAGGAACCTGCTCTCAGGACTTGGCCATATATACTTAGCCTTCATGTTACCACAGTGTTGGAAAGCCAACATTTAGTCTTCTCTACCTTCTCCACGTGCTTGTCTTTGTCCACCTGTGAGTAACTAACTGTACAGTGTAAAAGTTTCTGGCCTAGCTACTTGCTTTGTGCCTTGCACATGGTGATGTTGAGGGTGAGTGTATTTTGTTTATTTGTTTTTATTATGAGAAACTTTAGGCATTTGTACCAGTAGGAAGAAGAGTATAATGAACGAATAATCATGCCACCTTCATTAACAGAATCGGTTCTCCCTCTATCTCCTCCTCCCGCAGTCCCACCTACTTCTGCACCCCCAACCCCCACCCCCGTCGTCATTTCTCTGAGTTGTGTTTGCGTCAGCCTCTTAAGTCCAAGGGCTCCAAGGACGGTGTTCAGATTATCATGATCTGTGGTGTGATTTAAGTCACAAGTACTGTATGCTGACTCTTTTTCATCTCTAGTTCAAACTAATTTTAGCTCACTTGACATATATAAAGTATATATAAATATCTACATATTTACATGTACAATGTATATAGTACACATAGGCTGCATGAATGGCATAAGGAAAAAAATTGGAAATTAAAGAGTTGGTTTTAGTGACTCCCCTCTCCTGTGTACTTTACTATGGCTGTTTGTGACCTTTTATTTAACAGACTTTCCTTTTAATGAGTTTTTGCTTGCCTGTTGGTTTTGCCTGCAGACCTAAACTGGTTTTTTCAGGTGTTTCTTGATGCGTTTTATGTTGTCATATCGGTTTGATAGCTGCCTTACTGTACTTATCCCCAAATGTATGCAGCCTCTAAAATGAGATACTTACGTAAACGTTCCGGGGAAATTGGAGCATCTGCTGCAAGTTGCCATTAGCTCTTAATGCCTGAGCACATGCAGCTCTGAAAGGGAGGGTTATCTCAAATTCTTTTGTATTAGCCGTTTTCTTGAGCTAAGATGAACTCCTCCTCTTGACTTCGCTTTCTTTGTAAGAAGCACACTGAACTATCCCGGGGGAGCAATTTGCACTGCTCTGTGGTCCTCCTATTGGACCATTAAGTAGCCGAGAGGAATCAGGAGTCACCTTTGTAACAGTAGGTGTGAAGTCTGTTGAACAAACATTAAATGTTCTCCAGATTATCAGTTAGCCTGTGTATGGCTCTTAAACCCACAGTAAGGGAGACCTTGTATTTACAATAGTATAGATTGTATCTGGGCAAGAAACTGAAACCGTGTGTGAATTTTGATACTGTTATTATGTAACTAATATATCCTTAACAGTGGCAAAGTGAATGACAACAAAGTCAGTTATGACCCCACAGGGAAATCAGCAGTCACATGAAGAGCCATAGCTTCCCTTGGCCAAAACCCACTGGATTCTTGTTTTGTTTGAAGGGTATCTGTGCATCTACTTGGCATGAGTCTTCCTCTCTTGGTTGGAGCTCACTGTTTCTCCTAAAGTAGCTCTCCAGCCCATCCATAGGACCCACCTGGCTCCCTGACATCATCCCCAGTGCTAGGATTACAGGTGTGTGCTACCATGCCCAGTGCAGTTTTACATGAATTCTGGGAATCCAAACTCAGGTCCCCATACATGTACAAGCGCTTCATCCATGGAGCCATCACCTCCCTAGCCCCTAGAACTGGAGTCATGAGGCAGTGAGATGTTTTTTAAGAAGCCATAAAAAGGTGGGTTTTTTGTTTTGTTTTTGTTTTTTTGTTTTTGTTTTGCTTGTTGTTTTCCCCTGAAGAACCACGTTGTCCTTTATCAGCTCTTCTGTAGCAGCTTAAAGTTTGGTGTCTAAATCTAAAAAGACTTGTTCTTTCTGAGGGACAACAAAAAGACACAAATGTTCTTAGAGTGGTTTTTAACGGTTCTGGAATATTCCCCTTCATAAGGTGATTGCTACAGGCTACCGCTAGGAGAAAAGAAGCTGCTGTTATAGCTTAGAATAAAACATGTGCATTTTATCTGACATGGACCTAGATAAAGACAACTCATGATGGACATAGGACAAAAAGGCAACAGTGTGGCCAGAGACCAAAGGGGCAAGCACAAGTGGAGGTGAGGAGGTCCCTAGGAGCTGCCTGATGTGCTCCTGGCTGGGAACTAAAGCCCTCATGCAGGATTCAGCTGTGTGGAGAGAAGAGTGCAAAGCCAGTTACTGGAGTTTAAGAATGATGCCTAGTTTTTGATCTGTAGCTTGTGGTGCTGAAAGTCTTGTTGGCATTTACTGAATGTTGTGAGTAAGGTTCCAGAATGTACCTAAAATGTGGAAAAACAAAACTTGTTGCTGGAAAAAAGCCTAAACTTAAAAATTCGGTCCAAGTCAACAAAATAATCTCACTTTAAGTCATTGGAAATGTCTGAAGAGAAAGGGCTGTCAGGAAGTGTAAAGGAGATTCAGAGGCCTACAGAGGGAGGGCGATATTGCTCTTAAACACTTGTGCCTTGCTGCATTCTCACAGCCTACAGTAAACCCTTCCCGACCTCTGTCTGGCCCTGAACCAGAACCAGAATGGCAGCATTTTCTTTTCTAACCCCATTCCCTGCTCAGGAGAGAAGCGTGTGTGGGAATGAGGAACATCCAACCACTGATGTGACCTCTGGAAAGCCGCAGCGTGGTTTGCGGTTTATCTGGTGGACCATAAACCGAGGGAAAGAAAAGGGGGAAGTAGGCCAATGCTCTTGTTTAGTTTCATTTGCAAAGCACTTCCCAAAATTCAGGGTTCTTTATAGTAGGATGTGAATATGTTTTCAGAATTTCAAAAATTTGAGCAGAGAAGTGTGATTTTTCGTTATCTACAGTTAAAATTTAGCATAAGAAATAGTTTATCCAGAGTTGTATGAAATCATGTTAGCTTCACAGACTGATGCTTTCCAGTAGCTTGAGGTGACTCCACGGGCCCTGAGGATGGCTGTTTCCTTAAACAAAGAGTCATGTCTCTTTAGTTCTAGAATCGCAAGAGATTCTAGGAACTTTAGTTCTAGAATCTCAAGGAGGCGTGGTGGGGATGCAGGATGAGGTGTTAAAGTTATACCTGAGGAACAAGGTCTCCATATGTCTCTAGGAGATTATATTTCAAAATGGAATTCTGAGCTGTTTAAGTCTGTGTTGGGGACAGTTGGGTGCATTGATAGGGACCTCCCAACTTAGAAGATATTTAAACGTTTCGGTCAGACACCAGAGTTGACGTTGGCTTTCTATATTACTTTCCTGTGTTTATCCCATAACCCGTGCTCTCTGCTGTGCGTTGTCTCTAGATATGGAAGAAAGCAGTAGCGTTGCCATGTTGGTGCAAGAGATTGGAGAACAGGAGGCTGTGCTAACTGCTGAAGGCATCCTCAGCCCTTCCACTGAAGCTGACCAACAAAGAAAAGCTAACGCAGACCCATTGGTCCACGTCATCCAGAAATTAAGCAAGATAGTGGGGCATGAAAAGTCACAAAAATGTCTTCTGATTGGGAAAAAGCGCCCACGTCCAAGTGAGACAGCACACTCTCTTGAAAACCTAGAAAACTGTGAGATTCCAGCTAAAGCAGCCGAGTCTCCTGCTGCTGGGGTTAGGAAAGCCGAGATGTCGCAGGCAAGTTCCACTTTTGCCTCAAATGATGGGAAGGCTATGTCCTACCAGTGTAGCCTTTGTAAGTTCCTGTCAGCATCCTTTTCTGTGCTGAAAGAGCATGTCAAGCAGCATGGGCAGCAGCACGAGGCGATGCTCATGTGCTCAGAGTGCCATGCCACCTCCAGGAGCCAGCAGGAGCTTGAAGCACACGTGGTGAGTGAGCACGAGAACAGTGCCAGCAGCCATGCCCGGTCCAGCCCCTCAGGTCAGGGAGCCACAGAAAGAAAGAGCGAGACCATGGTGGACATCCCAGTGAACATGAGCAGTCCACAGACCCATGCTGTCCAGAGTGCAGCCGTGGCAGAGACGGGACGGAGGAAGTGGTATGCATATGAACAGTATGGCATGTATCGGTGCTTGTTCTGCAGCTACACCTGCGGCCAGCAGCGAATGTTAAAGACACATGCTTGGAAACATGCAGGGGAAGTTAACTGCTCCTATCCAATCTTTGAGAATGAAAATGAGCCCCTTGGCCTTCTGGCTTCTTCTGTGTCTGCTGCACCTGGTGGGGTCGATGCAGTTGTCATTGCTATTGGGGACAGCGAACTGAGTATCCACAATGGGCCATCTGTACAAGTACAGATTTGCAGCTCGGAGCCGCCCTCATCTTCATCTCCTTTAGAACCGAGCACAGAGGAGGGAGTGCACCTAAGCCAGGCAGTTACCCTGAACTCTAACGAGGAAGAAATGCTGGAGGTGATGTCTGATTCCGAGGAGAATCTGTTTGCTGACAGTTTGCTCTCGTCAGCACAGAAAATCATTAGCAGTAGCCCAAACAAAAAAGGTCACGTGAATGTCATTGTGGAACGTTTGCCAAGTGCTGAAGAAACCCTCCCGCCAAAACATTTCCTCATGAATGCTGAAATGGAAGAGGGGAAGAGCCTGAGCCCTGCTGAGGCCCAGACTGGGTGTGGAGGAGCAGGAGCTGTGTACCATGCTGATAAATGTACTGTTGATATTGGGGGGTTGATCATCGGCTGGAGCAGTGCGGAGAAGAAAGACAGCGAGCTGAGTAAGGGCCTGGCTCCTGATGAGAATGCCCCACCAGGACGGAGAAGGACAAATTCTGAGTCTCTCCGGCTGCACTCCTTAGCTGCAGAAGCCCTTGTCACCATGCCAATAAGAGCTGCTGAACTAACAAGAGCCAGCCTTGGGCACTATGGGGACATAAACCTTTTAGATCCAGACACTGGACAAAGGCAGGTCAGTGGTCCATTGGCAACATACTCAAAAAAAATCATGTCTCCTCTTAAGAACTCTACAGATGGAGTAACAAATTTTAACCAAAGCAATTCCACTGTGGTAGCTCTCCCAGAGGGAAGGCAGGAATTGTCAGATGGGCAAGTTAAGACAGGCATCAGTATGTCCCTTCTTACCGTAATAGAAAAACTGAGAGAAAGGACAGACCAGAATGCATCAGATGATGACATTTTGAAAGAGTTGCAGGACAATGCCCAGTGTCAGCCCAACAGCGATGGGAGTTTGTTTGGGTCCAGCGTGGTGGAATACATCCCAGATGCCGAGCGGCCCTACCGATGCCGCCTGTGCAACTACTCGAGTGGCAACAGGGGCTACATCAAGCAGCACCTGCGTGTCCATCGGCAGAGGCAGCCTTACCAGTGTCCTATCTGTGAGCACATAGCTGAGAACAGCAAAGACTTGGAAAGCCACATGATCAACCACTGTAAAACCAGAATACACCAGTGTAAGCAGTGCAAAGAATCTTTCCATTACAAGGTGAGCGACGGTCTCAAGGGTTGCCAGGGACTTTATAGCTATAGTCCAGCCACCTCATTTTGTATATCAATGAAAATGAGTTCCAGAGAAGTTTGGTAATTTGCCCAAAGATACCCCCAACAAATTAACATTGAAGTTAGGTCTGAAAGCTAAGTCTCCATGGTTGCTGTCTAGAACTTTCCCTTAGTCTGAGGCTCATGTCCTTTGTAGCCACCTGTTGCTTTCACGTTTTCATGTGTGTGTGGTAGGCAGTGCAGAGTAGACTGACAGGCACACATTTGACATAAAAGGCTAACTGTGCATCAACACACACACACAAAGTATTTCCTGCGGTCATAACAGCTGCTACACAACCAGCAGAAAGTGATTTGTGTCATTGCAGAGGGGAAGTGGACTGTAAGACCTACTAGGAAGCAGCACAGTAGAAATGACGCCATATTTGTTGTTGCTGGACAGTTTGAGGGACTTTGCTAGGGATCAACCCCAAGACCTCACACCGGCTAGGCAAGTGCTTGCCTGCAAAATGCATTCCCAGCCCTTGGTTTTATGTGAGTCTTGCTGAATGTCTAGGCAGAACTTACGGGCTTATAGGCTCCCTCCTGTGTGCCGAGATCTGAATGGACTTCTGGGGACATTCAAGGCAGGTGTTTACCTTAAGTATTGAGCCAGCAGCCAGCTAAAATGTCTCTTATTCTCTGTAAAGGGTTCCTGGAGTCAGTCAGCCCTGGTTGTTAGTGACTTAGATATCCCTCAGTGCGCCAAGTGTTGGAAGTGAATCTTTACTGGCCAACTGGGGCATAGACCTGGTCTCACAGATTACCTACAACCTACAGTTGGGGTCTAGAAAAAGTTGCTCTGTCTCAAGGTTCATTGGCACTCGAATTACTCTCATGAAATTCCAAATAGCATATCCAGAGAGGTTCCAATAGCAAGTTTCAGGAGTATCTAGAGTTGCTTTTGCTGCCTCTGTCCTCCTGATTTAGGGTGGAAATAGTTCCTGTGACATGTCTAGCTGGTCTCAGAGGCGGAAGTTAACAAGAATGCCTGTGTTTGCTGGTAAGTTCTGTTTGCAGGCATGTCGAGTTATCCCCTAACTGTCTACTCCTTCATCTCTGGCCTGCTTGCTGTGTGGGAAGCATGCCCATTGAGGCGTGTTTGCCTTCAGATAACATGAAAGACTATGAGGAGATTGTGATCACCTAGTGTCTATCTTTCTCTAATTTCATATATGCTAAGTGATTTTTAGTAGATTTGACTTTAAAATATTAATTTTTTAAAAAGCAAGTAGTGTGCTAAATTATAAGGACGTGGCTGCAGCTGGGTGAGTAGATGATGGTTAAAAAAATCACCCTAGAACCCAGATGGTAATGGGCTCTAGGCCTAAGGTTCCAAAAGCACTCAGCCCTTACATGGGCTGGCTGGTAACCGTGCAGGTATGTTTGCTGGGAGTTACGGGTTAATTTTCTTGCTTTATTTTTATTTTTTTTCAGAGCCAACTGAGGAATCATGAGAGGGAGCAGCACTGCCTGCCCAGCACCTTGTCAGTAGCTTCGAACGAGCCAAGAATTTCCCGTGATGCCGCCGATGGAAAGTGTGTTCAGGAAGGTATGTGTGCATTTTCATTAGCGTCTGTGAACTGCATAGGATGGTGGCTTTCATTAGGACGTTTTTGTGAGTGCTTGTAATGTACTCTGATGGTGTTCACACACACACACCGTCATCCTCGCTTGTGCCTTGTTAAATACAGGCTGCACTGACAAGCTTATGAGGTGAAAATGCCCTTGTTGTCATGGAAAGTGTGTGTACCTCCCCTCTTCTAGACTGAGTGAGAATGACTCTTCCCTTTGTTCCTAAGGAAATTCCAAGGATTGACTAGAGTATACTCCATCTACTTGTAGGTCAGAAGTACTCAATTAGTAAGGACTTGGCTACAGCCAGGCCAATAGATCCTGCAGGGGTTTGTAAGAACCAGGCTACGGCAGAGACCCTTGGAGGGTAGTGGACCAGCAAGCTGGGAAGGTGGGAGCTAGCACAGAAGGCAAGCCTCCTCCCCTCTCCTCTCCAGCGCCAAGTGACCTGCCTGCTGAGGCACAGCTTTTGCAGATGGCAGCCCCCACCTCAGACTGTAACTGAGGCTTCCTGCTGTGATCTTACTCTTCTCCAAGTATGAGTTCCAGACTTCATCTGCATTATTTAAACACACACAGGAACCTTTTATGTACTAGTTAGGTACTAGTCGGCTGAGTTTCTGGTAATAGGAATATTAGAATCAAAAGATTTAATTAGAGCTCCATGAAAAGGCGGATGCCACATCCAGAGAATGAGGGATTGAGTGTAATAAGCTGTGCTTCCTGGCTTTGGTTCACGTAAATTGATATGCTTTAAATGTCTCCAGTGTGGTACATAGTGTTTATGGGGAATAAAACATACTGGGGTGACTTTCCTTTTTAGATTTCCTAAGAATTAAAGTTAGGAACAACTGCAGAGTAAAATGTTTTACCATAATGTCTCATTAAATTATACCCCAGAAAGCATAACTGATTCCAGAATGTTTCTGAAGGAACTGATTTTGACACCACTGTAGCACCAGAATCCCCTTGTCAAACAGATGCCATCCCCGTAAAACCATCCCGAACAAAAGGAGTTTACGACACGGCATCTGCTTTCGAGGTGGATGGCTGAGCGAAAACAGTTTTGTTTCCTTTCTACAGAATAGCCCTAAATGCCTCTTTTTATTTTAATTCATTATGTTTCCACATCCCTTCTAAAGGAGACGTTAAGCATTAGACATGATTGGCCCGTAAATCCTAATGAGGGAATAAAGTGTGTGCAGCTCAGTAGCTCCACCTGCAGTTGACTCCAGCAGCATTGAAAGCCAGGGCTTAAAAGTAATCCGTGTTGTTTAGCAGATTCAGTGAAGACATCAACATGAATCATGGTGTTTGTACCTTCCTTGGTCTGCAGTTTTTCTGTGTGATTTCAATGCTTGCCCCTGGGGTTAATGATGTGTAGATTTAAATTGCATACCATGATCATCTTGGTTTTTGGTTTGGTTTTGGAGATTTTATTTTATTTTATTTTATTTTATTTTATTTTATTTTATTTTATTTTATTGCAGTACTAGTGATAGGTACATGCTGAGCAAGCACTCTTCAACTGAGCTTCACCCTAGCCCTTACCATGACTTTAGTTTTAACCCCCGCTTAGCTGTATTTGCTGTTCTGTCATAGTATAGCAGGCCTAGCTGATCTCTTCCTGCATACTCACCCCTGGATGGGTACTTTGATTAATTCCATATGGTTGTGATTTATGTTTTGTTAACAGTTCTCTTAACTATTCTGTAAGCTTATTAAACAAGAAGGGAACTCCATGACTGTCGCTGCGTGCAGTCTTTGCTGTTGCTATAGTGTGGACACCAGCATGCTTTCAGTACAGAGGACTGATGTAACAGTACTACGGAAATTCGTTCAAGCTAAAGTCATGGTGCACCTATTCTGAGGGGATTCTCTTGCCAGGTGCCGGGAGCACAGTGAAGGGTGTCACTGCCCTTGTGGAATCAGAAGTGTACTAGTGGGTGTAATGTCAGCAAACGTCCTGGCATGGCACTTCCGGACTTCAGACAGTGTCCCTTTGTGAAGTTTAAATTGTCCTTTCATAGAGACCTGTCATTTGTGCTGCTCTGGGTTTTAATGCCAGCGCTGCAGAGATTCGCTGGAAGTGTGCAGAAAGAGCACACGGCTCCTCCGGCTGTGTGAGCAGGGCCTCTACCGCCCAGGCTGTAGAAAAGGCAAAGGAGGCCTCGAGAGCTGACATCACTTGCTCATTCTCACACCAGGGGTCGAGCAGAAATTAGGCCCAAGTTGTTGGACTTTAAATCCAGTCTTGATTCTGTTGGAAACATTTGCTTGAAGTAGCACGGTCTCTCATTCTGTGCTATATTAGGCTTTTCCATCTGTCAGTTTTATTAGTTGTCATTGATCTGTAATATTTCTCACACACAAAAAAAAATTATCCAATATTTCACACCTCATTTTTTTCAGTTTTTTTTTCAAAAACTATATTTGGAACAATGCCATTTTTAATCAAGTCCAAGTTTTTAACCTACCAATTAAGAGCAGTGCTTAGATTGTAATTATGATTAGTGTATTCATGTTATAGATTTATACCGGGAAATGTGGACGTTTTGTCCTGCCTGGCAGTAGTTATTAACCAAAGGAAATTTCAGTTTTAGAAAGCTTAAATTTAACTTGAGATTTTTCTTTGTTGAAATTGCACTGTGGATTTTCTTTTCTTCTGTGATGTTACTTAGATCCTGTGTGCACTCCTTCCCGCCTTGGCTTGCTTCATGGGTGGCTTCCTGCCCCGAACACATAGCTCTTCTCACTCTGCCTAATCCTTGAGCGTCCATGCTTACCTGCTGTCTGAAAGTAACCCAAGGCGAGGATGCTCTGGGAACCAGTACACACAGCACAGGCTGTCTTCCAGGGCTTAGGATAGAGCCCTAGGGCTTATGTGAACTACTCATTTGCAGAATGAGCTAGAAATGGGCCTGTATCCTGTATCACTGGACTCAGGTTTGCTGCACATGAGGAAAGCTATGTATTCAGTCTTTGTCCCTCCCTCCACCCCAGCCCATTAGCCCATTAAGTGTGGCTATGCTGAATTGTAGAATTCTTCAGAATTGGTGATTTCATTTCCTCCTTAGTTTAATTGATGGCTGACATTAAGCAGTAAACCAAGCAAACCTACATGGTAAAAACCTCAGAGGTTTTGTATGTAGCTTGCTGTATATGACTTGTGGCCACAGTTTATTTTTGTTTTATGTAGGTCACTGTTTTGCTCTGTGAATGTATAGATCCATACTACGTGAGTACAGTGTCTGTAGAGGCAAGAAAAAGACATGGACCCCTGGAACTCAAGTCATAGACTGTTGTAGGTGCTTGGAACTAAAACTGGGTCCCTGCAAAACTAATCAGTGCTTTTGACCACTGAGCCATCTCCAGCCTCTAGCCACACTTGACAATACTTTATTATTTTACCTTGTTGGCAAGTAGATGTTTCTTTAAGACACTGTAACCATTACTGATTAGAATAACACCTTTCAAGTTCACAGTGTATCTTGGTTAATTTAGCTGCTAAATTAGCAGTCAGCACAACAGCTGGGGGCAAGTTCATTCTACGGTAGAACCTGGAACACGGTTACACAGAACCAGCCCAACCTGCCCTTGTTTACAGGTCAGATGATATGGTGGTCAGCTCCTGCTTGCAGGTGGTCTGAGTGCAAGAAAGTCTAGGGAGGGAGCTGCTTAAAATGTGTTAATTTTACTGTGAGAGAGCCTTGATTAAAACCTTGCCTCGTAGTGTCATAATTACTTGCTCATGATGAGGTGTAAATGCTCCCATGTGAGTCTTACCAAATCCTGCCTCTACACCTCTTTCCTTGAAGGGAACAAGTCTTCAGCCCAGAAACAGTATAGGTGTGACGTGTGTGATTACACAAGTACAACCTACGTGGGTGTCAGAAACCACAGACGAGTCCATAACTCAGACAAGCCATACAGGTAAGTGTGACTGACTCCAGCGTTCTGATGCCTGTATTGGAATATTTTATGATAAAGGTATACTTTAGAAATAGTTTGAAGTGTATGGTTGAAACACATGTTAAAAACTAAGAAATGGAGCCGGGCAGTGGTGGCGCACGCCTTTAATCCCAGCACTTGGGAGGCAGAGACAGGCGGATTTCTGAGTTCGAGGCCAGCCTGGTCTACAGAGTGAGTTCCAGGACAGCCAGAGCTACACAGAGAAACCCTGTCTCAAAAAACCAAAAAAAAAAAAAAAACTAAGAAATGGTCACATACTGGTTTCCTAACTCTCATCTAAGTTTGTTAAGAAACATTAAGCGTGAGTCTCAGCTCAGTGGACATTTTGAGACACTAGGGATACTGGAAGATACCTGTGTCCACCAGTTTTGTGCTCTCGTTTCCCTTGAGTATAAAGTATCAGCAGTTTCCGGTGCTGCAGAGCTCGTCACTGTGATGTAAAGGTTGCATTCTGCATGTGCCAGCAAAGGCACGAAGGCCATAAACACACCGATGAAAAGTTTGTTTTCTGTAGTTTGAACAGTATCATTTGATAGAGTTTTGTCACAAAAGCAAATTCTGTCTGTCTCATGTGTATTTAGAGAAAATAAGGTGTATTCTTGGCCAGACAGAATCAACTGCTAAGCAGTGACTACTGTTTAATAAACTTTGCCACCCAGGAGTAAAACACTACTTACAGTAACAGTGTGGACATTTCAGAGTTTGTCCACCCTTCATAAAGACATGCCCAGCACTGTCCATCCATAAGGCCGTGAATGTGAGCCTGTTAGCAAAGCAGCTTTCCCCCTGGTTTAACCACTTTAGGTGTGATGCACATGAGTCTGGACAGGTTGCTCCATTAATCCAAGTCATGGTTTTAACTTTCTCTATTCGTGACCTCTTTTTAGCTGAGACGTTTTACACAGCTCCAGATATGTGGGCATATAAATAGACATAACAATCAAACATTTACTGATACTCACAAAGAAACTTACACTAAACATTATTTGGTATTTGTATATTTCACCATTTATTAAAGACAGAAGCAATGTTAATGAGACATATGTACTTATTTACATAAAGAATTATACCTTCATTGAGCAATTGAAACTGAAGAACAAAGATGATCTTCAGCATTTTTCAGAGCCGATCAATATTTTGATTCTATAATCCTCAAAGCTGAGAACATCATTTCACATGAATACCTAGTACAAAATAGCACAAGTATGTTTGGGGCTATTTCAGGAGCTTTGGGAAATTCTGTCTATATCCCAACCCAAAATTCATTGAAGGATTTTTTTTTAATGTAACTCAAGTCAGTTTCTCAAGCAGCAATTTTTAAAATCAAACCATGTAGCACAGCACAATCTAAAGCTACAAGGACTTGATAATTATATGCTGGGACTGGGAGTGTAGCTCAGTGTGTTGCTTGCTTGCCTTGCAAGCATGAAGCCCTGTTGTCAGTCCTTATTGATGTATAAACTGAGCGTGGCGGCATGGACAGAGTGGTGGCAATTGAAAGAGGCAAGCGGGTCAGAAGTCAAGGTCATCGTCCCGGCTCCATGTGGAGTTTGAGGCCAGCATGGGCTACATGAAGCCATGTCTCAAAAAGAAAAATTAAGTCTGTATTTTCTGTAATGAAACTGCATGTCTATAAGAGCAGAAAGCTTTGGAGGTAGAGGGAAAAAAAAAAACCACTGCAATTCATAACATCATGTAGTCTCAGGTTTCAGCTGGCATGCATCAGGCAGCATTCATTGGCACTTCCTGACTTCACCAGGACAGGGTGTGCATGTGGTGTGTTGAGAGCGAAGGCTGCACTGAAGCCTGCTAGAAATAGCTCAGGTTCCTTACAGGCTCGAATGACTATTTCATTGTTGTGTGCTCAGAAATGACCCAGCTTAAAAGAATGAGATCAAAATGAAAACCTGACAGACTTGCTCTTGGACTGAGGAACTGGCTCAGTGGTTAACACTGGCTGCTCTTCCAGACACCCAAGTTCAGTTCCCAGCATCCACATGACAGCTCAGAATTATCAGTAACTCCAGTTCTGAGAGGTCTAAAGCCCTTGTTGAGCAGCAAGCATACCCATGGTGAGCAGACATACCTGAAGACAAAACACCCATATACATTAAAAAAAAATTTAATGTGGCTCTAAAATGTGCTTGCACACACATGCTCTCTTTTTCTGTTGTGCGTGCCTCTGTGTGTGTGTGTGTGTGTGTGTGTGTGTGTGTATGCACTCGCATGCATCAGCTGGTGTTAAAGCTCTGGGAGACATTTGAACTTGCCTTAATATCTCTGTTTTTAAGGTAGAAAAGCCTTTTTTTACCAGAACATAATGTCCATTAATTACTGATCGTTTCAGTGCTGAACATTCTAAGTGAGGACTGGTAGCTAGAGAAACACTAGGAGAGCATGGTGAAGACAGGCCCTGGCTTTCCTGTCAGCAGAAAGCTTTGCCTTTAAGCCTCAGTGCCTTTATTCTTAAATGTAATAGGAGGCCTACCAGATACGCATGATTTGGGCAGGAAACATCTCTGAGTCCAGAATTAGGTATGTTCATTGAGAAACAAAGTGCTATGTGCCAGGTGCTTTACTAGGTCCTTGGGTTATATTCCTAACAGAAAAGGCTTCATCTTCACCATCACGGAGCTTATGGATATACGCTTTCTGTCTCAGACACAAGTTCTAGGTCCTGATTTGCAGGACTGGGCAAGACCTAAAACTCACTGAGTTGTCACAGCATGATGGAACAAGTAGAATATTCATATACTACACATCTCAGCCAAAACAGAAACACTCAAAAAATACCAAACAAAAGTGCCCTTGGCTATGCATATAAGGTATATATGAAACATAGGTGGGTTTTGTTTGGATTTAAGTCTTATATGCACAGAACAGATAATGCAATCTGAGTCTCTTCTGCCTGACTCTATAGAGGAGGCTTTCTCCTGAGTAGATTAGGTTCACAACTACTGCCGTGGGCATCTTCAGGATGCTGTGCTTGCTTACAGTAGAGACTGACAGGAGAGTCACAGCTGTCCTGGTACCTTCCTATGTCTCCTCAGTCTTGCTTTTCCTCAGCCTGGCCTCTGTCAGTTCTTTGACTCGGTGCATGCCCTGTCCTGACCCGTGGGCTTATGTACTCAAATACTCTGGCAGGACTTTGTCTCCATTGGTACAGTCTGTGGCTCGCTGGGTTGGTAAGCACACTTTCTTGGTGTCTGGTTTTAATAAGGATCACAGTAGTCCTTTCTGACTTATTTCATAAGCAATATAGTTCCCTTTATTGCAGTGTTTGGGCTCATCCTCAGAGTCCACATTGTACATATTTCTGATTATTACTTTGTTTTCTCTTAAGAAAAATATAATAAATTTTCATAGAGCAAGAATGCCTTTTTGTCCTCTAGATGGTCTTTGTACAAAAGCACAGTAGGCTCTTGATGTGCTTGAGCACCCTCTTCTTTGCTTGTTTTTGGACTTTCTCTGTTGTGGTTCTAACATGTCCTAGCCTGCCTGTGTGATCAGCAGGTACCTGTCGTATGTGAGCTCTGCCTGTGCCAGCAGTTAGTCCAGGGCTTCAGTCTGAACCCTCCCACTTAATAGGGTTTGAGCTAAATTCTGAGCCCCTGTATAACATACTAGATGCTCAGTAAAGACTGACAGTTTATAATATGCCTCAGTTCCGCTCATTTATAAAATGCCTCTGGTTTACAATGTAACTGTCATTGAAAATAAATGCATGTCAGTATTACTATGCTTTTTAAAAGAACTGCTGAAATAGATATGCTAAATTGTATACTACCCTATTTAAAAAAATAGATTTTTCCATAAACATTAGTTTGCTCATAGCAGGAACCTCATAAGATCTAAACACTAAGTTTGATTGTCAGGTTCCCCCCCCCCGTCCCCTCTCTCTCTCTAACACGCATGGATGTTTTGCCTATGTTTATGTCTGTGCACCATATATGTTCAGTGCCCATGGAGGCAGAATAGGGAGTCCAATCCCTGTGGCTAGAATTACGAAGGTCTGAGCAGCCACATGAGTGCTGAGAATTGAACTCGGGCCTATGGAAGAAAAACCAGTGCTTTTAACTGTGAACTATCTCCAGGCCCTTTGCTTACATTTCTTATCTTTCTGCCTTCCTCTCCTCCCTCACTCCTCTGTTCCCTCTACTTCTCTCCCCATCTCTCCTCTTCTGTCTTCCAAATGTCGTAAATCAACTTTTTAATTGAATGTAACATACATACATCGTAGAAATGATACAGATCCTGAGTTCACACTTGATAAGTAACCACAAAGTCTTGTCCGGCTTCTGACCGCACGCCCTTCTTGTTCCTCCTTTCGGCAAGTGTCCTCGGCTCTTTCCACAAGCACTGTTTTAACTGTAGAATCATAAATTGGATTTGTGGTTTTTCAGACTTAATAAAAATAGAACCATATGGTACGTAGAATTTTGTGTCTCTTCTACTCTTAACTCGGTGTGTGCTAATAAATTTAATTTCTATATTGCATTCTATTGTAAGACTATCATACATAACTGGGGGTGTAGTTCAGAGGTAGGGTGCTTACCTATGTGCACAAAACCCTGGGTCTGGCCCCTGGAGCTACCAAAAAATGATTATTTACTCATTCTATTTGTGGTAGTTTGTATATGCTTGGCCCAGGGAGTGGCACTATTAGGAGGTGGAGCCTTGTTGGAGTAGGTGTGGCCTTGTTGGAGAAAGTGTGTCATTTTGGGCATGAGTGGACTTTAAGACCCTCATCCTAGCTGCCTTCAGAACAAGAGGTAGAACTGTCAGCTCCTCTAGTTTCGTGCCTGCCTGGATGCTGCCATGCTTCCTGCCATGATGATAATGAACTGAACTTCAACCTGTGAGCCAGCCCCAATTAAACGTTCTCCTTTATAAGAGTTGCTGTGGTCATGGTGTCTCTTCATAGCAGTGAAACCCTAACTAAGACACTATTATTAGATTTTGTATTGTTACCAGTTTTTCTTTCTTGTTATGAATAATTCCATTTTAAACATTTCTTGGCTTGTTTGAGGTACACATAAGCCCATTTCAAGTGTCAGCAGCTGCCAGGAGTGGTAGTGTGAGCTCCTGCCCTCCTTAGTGCTGTGCCGGTGGGAAGCGCACTGGTCCCTGATATGAGAGCTGCTGTGTATTAGTGTGGTGGGCTGTTTGCCTGTCCTTGGTCATATGCAGGACTTCACCTTTATTCTGCGTGGAAGTCCTTTGTGCACTGCTGACGCTGTCCTATGCAATGGCTTCCCTGACACCTGGTGTACAGAAATTTCTAGTTCTGTATGGAAAGATTTGTTCATTTGTATCTAGGGCTATTATGTATTTAATTCTGAAAGTTGCTTTGATTTTCTCTGGAATCCAGGAAGTAATAGTACAGAAGTCAAAATAAAGCGTTGAAAACAACAATGGGAAGGAAAAAGAAAACCTTCAGATTTCTGGCAGTGGGAATAACAAGAGTGGCCTTATGGCAGGGTCAGGCACTGTGATCAGTGTTAGCAGTGATGAGTGATGTGTTTGAGAATTCTGGGCCTGGCCATGTGCTGAGGTCTTCAAATGAGTGCTCACATCAGCCTGGTGTCAGCTGTCAGAGGCAGGTGGTAGGCTGGGATACATGATGTGCCTTTCCCCAAGACACACATGAGGCACAGCTTGAACCCTTGCTTCAGTGGGCCTTCCTGCCTGGGCTACATCCTTGAGGCGGCATGTGTACATCAGTAGTGTGAGACGCAGTCTCTATGCTCAGGGACTCTGGGTCAGGAATGAGGGAAGGGCACATTCCATATGGTGGGTCTGGGTCTTCTACAGGAAAGGTTAGAAGCTGGAGGTTAGCAGAAGCTGGGTTTCATTTGCACAGGGCTCCCTCACCAGTCTGTGGTTTGTACTCTGTTGGCTGCACTTCAACAGGAGTACGTCCACAGGTGCCCAAGTCTGCATATCATGTCCCTCGTGTCACATAACAGTGTTTGCACATTGCCTGTGCACATGCTCCTTTGTGTGTCAAGCAACTCTGGATGGTATTATCTAACAGTGTCTGTGCTGGCTCAGTGGGTATTGTTTAGGGGATAATGAAGGAAGAACATGTGCAGATTTAGTGCCAATGAAGTGGTTTTTCCAAATGTCTTCCACCTGTGGCTTTGGAGGGCACACCATGCTGTCATCTATGACTTGAAAGCCACAGTCCATCCCCGCCATCACAGACTTAGATCTTATATCATTAGACTTAGATCTGCTTTCATCTGTAGATGCTGCATCATAAATCAGTGCTGTTGGCTTAGCGGAGAGAGTTCACATTTTAGACGCATGGGTTAATGTTAAAGAACACTGGTTACTAGGTAATGTAATCTGAACAGTGGTATGGGGATGGGGATTTTGAAGGGGAGAGCTGAAAGAACTTGTTCCCACAATGGCAGGAGCTTCTAAAGACTTATCTCAGGCTTATTGCATAACTGAAATCACCATTTTTCCAGTCAGTCTGTCTATCTTCCTACCTTCCTACCTTCCTACCTTCCTACCTTCCTTCCTTCCTACCTTCCTTCCTTCCTTTCCTTCTTTTTGTTTTTGGAAACAGGGTTTCTCTGTGTAGTCCTGGCTGTCCTGGAACTCACTCTTGTAGTCCAGGCTGGCCTCAAACTCAGAAATCCACCTGCCTCTGCCTCCCAAGTGCTGGGATTAAAGGCGTGCTCCACCACTGCCCATCGAGAGCTGGAGAATTGGCTCAGAAGTTAAGAGCACTGGCTGCTTTTGGAGAAGACACAGGTCTATCCAGCTCTCACATGGTAGCTTAGAGCTAGCTGTCTCCAAGTCCAGTCCCAGAGGACCATAGGCCCTCTTCTGACTTCTGTGGATACTAGGCATGCACTGGTACACCCATGCACAAAAACAATAAAATTAATCTAAAATAAGAAAGTGAGCCAGGCATGATGGCATGTTCCTTTAATCCCAGCATTCAGGAGACAGGCAGGCTAATCTCTGAATTCAAAGCCAGTCTGGTCTACATAGTGCATTCCAGGACAACCAGAGCAACGTTAAAAGATCCTATCTAAATAATAATAACAACAAATGCATAGAGAATGAATTATATGTAATGACACAAACTCAGATACAACATTTATATTGAAATGTTCAGCATACTCAAGCCTCCCTAATACATCACAAGGCAATCCGCTTCTCTTATCTTCCCCCGGCCCTCTCACAGCAGTTGCTTAGTTAACGCAGACTTGAGGAGCTAACCAAGGGAGGGCCCAGGCCAAGGGAGTGTTTGTTTCAACCAGCACATGCCCTTGTGTGGGGTTATGGAACTGCATTAACTGCCTGCCTTACGAGTGATAAAATAATGATGAAGCATGGAGAGAATCTCAGCATCACCTGTCAATAAAAAGCCAATGGCCAATGAACTGAGGCGTGAAATAGGAGGTGGGACGTTGGCAGGAAGAGAGTATTCTGGGAAATAGTAAGATATAAACCAGCAGGTAGAGTTGCTCCAAGAGACACTGAAGATACAAGAAGGAATAAATGGGGCAGGACGGAAAGAGAGACAACCAATCAAGTGGTAGACAGAATAGATTAAATGGTTAAATAAGTTAAGAGCTAGTCATGGAATGAGCCAAAGCTTATAACCCAGGCATTTAATAATAAATGATTAGTCTCAGAATCATTGCTGATGGGAACTAAGTGGCTAGTAGGGAAAACTGTTAATTTATTTTAACAATGAAGAGCCTGTAAGATAATTCTAATTTATTTTTTAGCTAAGACATGAGGAGCCCAAGGTCTCTGCATTGGCGTTCTCTCGATGACAGCATTCTTCTTCATCAGGAAGAAATGATGTTTTATGCAGCTAAGGATGGGGTGCTATGATCAGCTAAGGATGGGGTGCTATGATCAGCTAAAGATGGGGTGCTATGGTCAGCTAAGGATGGGGTGCTATGATCAGCTAA